CTTGCAGTTTCTGCGGTTGCAGATGTCTCACTGTCTTTTTGGTCTCAAATGTTTGTTTTATATTTTAGCTATTGATGGACCCGTGAACTATATGATTGCTGATCACATTTCACTAAAGACTGATTTGGTAGCTTGGTATGCTACATGACAGTAGCCGAGAACAAAAATTGACGTAAATGCTCAGTAACAATTCTGTCTCACTCTACTGCTTGTTTTCTCATTCATCGATAGGGTTAAGAAATGTTTTCTAATCTTGTGCATTTATTTTTTTTATGTGTAATACTTTAAACTAAAGGGAGAGAAAAATGAATAAAAGAGAGACCAAAAAAGGAACAGATTGTGTCCAATTGGCTGTAAAACCATTTTTGGAGCTGGTTACATTTTCTGACATCATTCAACATGAGCTGCAGGTGAAACGATGCTGTCTGGTGGCCAGCTCAAGGGGCCTGACAGATGACTTCATAAAAAGTGTATAAGCTTTAGGAGTGTAAAAAACGCACCACTTGTTTATTTCCCGGAATACAGTGCAGCAGTGTGGCAGTAAACCCAAGGGATCCAAGACTGTTGTCTGTTTAAGAAGCACTGAATCTCAGATATTTTATTTGTAGAATGTCATAATACTCACAAAGCACTTTTGAATGTTCTTGTAAAAGGATTCACTTAACCCCTTTAGGAGCCTTTGCATAAGACTGCTTTACATCCTTCTTCAATTTGTAATGAACTAGAGTTAATGAATAATAACAGATGCCAAACCAGAAATGATTTTCTGTTTGTTGCTTTTGTTTTAATATCAAATGTGATTATATGAGTACACCTGCAGGGTATCCTTCAATAATAAAGAGTAGGAAGGAGGCAGAGAGTGGTTATCTGCATTTTCTATTCAAAAGTATTTTCACCCTCACCTCCTTGCACCTCTTCTATTTTTGCTTTTAGCTAATACAGTATATGCACACTTATCATTATTATCCTTTAGAAAACCAACTTATTTAACTTTTGTGCTTTGCCCTTTTTTAAGAACTGTTTGCCTTGAAGGAGTAAGTCTATACTGCCACAAAAAACAGCTCTGAATTCTTTCTTTCTTTCTTCTGGTGCTTCAAAAGATCCAATATCCATACAACATACAACCACAGCAAATGGATCCCAAACTTCATGAAAATCCCTGGCCAGATAATTTAATTTAACATTTTGTTTAATGTATTTAGGTTTTTTTGCACAGGGTACACACCTATTGCACTCACTTGTAGGTGACAGAGTACGTTGTTTGTGTTACATTACTGCAAGACACATAGAAGAAGAGTAGTTGTTGTTGATAGTCTGAAGCTGAGGTAGTTCAGTCAGACAACTCACGTTTGAAATGTTTATTAAAGCAGTATAGCATATTTATATTTTGGCGTCTAGACTCCGACCT